GATACAATTTAAAAATATAACTTTGTCAAAAAAAATTTTTAACAGATTTAAAATAAGAATTATATATAAAATTAGGATTTTACTAAAACGCACCTATAGTGTTTTACACCTATGTATCAAAAACTAGCTAATTAATCGATGTGAGGTGTTTTAAGTAAAAATGTTCTACGCCTCTAAAAATCCTTGCAAACCCTAATTCTAACCTTAATATTAACTTTAACATGAAAAAATTGGGGTTAAAAATTTTATATACAAAACTTATAAAAACTTAGAAAATTCTAAAAAACATAATAAAAACATATAATAGGTGCAAAACCACTAGATGCATTTTATAATAATTGTAAAATTATATTCTGAACAACCCCAATTAGAGAATTATTTTAATAAAAAAAAAGTTTTCTATATATTAATATTAAAATTTTCAATTTTTCTATGTAAATTTTTTTTTTTGCTTAAATAACCTGTTCTAACCTCTTAAGCAAATTTGTTTAGCGCATAATTCTACATATTTTATATCTTGCAGATTTTGTTTTTTTTGAACTTTTTACTAAGTGAAAGATTGGGTTAAAGATTATACAAAAATTTTTTTTAAAAAAATTTTTTAAAATTTTTTAAAAAAAATTTTTTGTATAACCTTTGACCCAATCTTTCACTTAGTAAAAAGTTCAAAAAAAACAAAATCTGCAAGATATAAAATATGTAGAATTATGCGCTAAACAAATTTGCTTAAGAGGTTAGAACAGGTTATTTAAGCAAAAAAAAAAATTTACATAGAAAAATTGAAAATTTTAATATTAATATATAGAAAACTTTTTTTTTTTTATTAAGATAACTCTTCTTTACTCCCCAAAATAATTAACTTAGTACAAAAAAAAGGTTTAGATAAAAGCACATCATATTTAGAAACTCTAATTTTTATATATAAACTACTGTATATCACATACTATTATTACTCTCTGATTGACTAGCAAATTACTATCGATATATATCAGCATAGATAATGATCGATATATATCAGGCTATATTTTTTGCCGATGTAATATGTAAATAGAATATAGAAAAACTCTAGTAGTCTGAGCTAGTAATTCTGTAATATAATAGTAATACAATAGATATCAGCAGCTCCTTCAATGTGATTAGCTATATGATCTGGATGTCGCTCAAATCGTTTCGATCAATTGAGTGATTGCGAAATGCGGTTTCTAAATTTTAATCAACCAGAGCAATTCTATAAAAGGTCTGCACCTCCAGATTTTTTCATTCAATTTCCGACTAATTAAAATTTTGCCTCCGACATATTGAGTGAGGTGATTGAGAACACCCTTAGTCAAGTCGACAAATTTAGGTCGACTACAAATACTACTAGGCTTCAAAACAGCCAGGTTCTAAAGTATTGGGCCTAAGGACTTTATCGTCCCTAGTAAACCTCTGGTGGTAAAAATAATAGTTAAGCCTGAAATTTTATCAATCAAATTAAGTAAATTTCTGCAAAGTTATAACGATCATAAAATAATTGTAATACACCAATTCTACAGATAGTGTAAAGTTTTGTGAGGTGTTCGTGTTTTTTATTAGTTCTAAAGATTGATGTCAATAATTATTATTACCAAGTTGACAATGACTAGAACGCGAATTAACTAATTAATACTTTCAAAAAAGTCCATAAAAAATTAATTAGAATATTACAATTGTTCTGTAAGTTCTGCCACCATTACTTTTTTATCCTCAGATTCAACCGATTGTGATGCGAGCATCAAATCCCAAACCTGTTTTGCTTGCTCTCTACTAATAGTACCAAAAACAAAATTAAAGACTTCGTCATAATCTGCAACGGGAACACCTGTAAGTCCCTCCTTAATATTTTCGGGCAACTCTTCCCAATCGTTAGTATTAGCTTTCGGAAATATTAAGGTTGACACACTGGATCTCTTGGCTGCTACCGCTTTTTCCCGAATTCCACCAACCTTTAAAATTTTACCAGTAAGAGTGAGTTCACCAGTCATTGCTATAGTTGGATCTAAAGACTTAGATAAAGCAAGTGAAAGGAGTGATGTTGCCATGGTAATGCCGGCAGATGGGCCTATGCATTGTTTTTGATAATAACACGCATAAACACAATGTATTAGAAAAAAAAAATTTTTGAATCATATAATAATAGTAAATTACATACCATCCTTTGGAGTTGCACCTTCAGGCACATGAAGGTGAATCGAAGCCCTTTCAAAAAATTTGTTTTCTGGATATTGTCGTACCATTAAACTTTTAGCAAATGTATAAGCAATAGTAGAGGATTCCTTCATTACATCGCCCAATTGACCAGTTTTAGATAGGGATGGTTTCGAAGTTGGAGAAAGAATTGAATCAAGTGTAGATTCGACATATAATGCAGAGCCGCCTGAATTTAAATTAGATAAAATTTTCAACAGTATTGAATTAAGTAAGTATATTGGTAACAAAACCGTAATGAACATACCCATGCTGGTCCAAGCCAATCCCATAACGACGCCGGGAGGGGTTTGATCATATAAACGATCTGAATGCCACAGTGGAGGTCCAACATAATCTTTCAAATTTTCTGCGGTAATGCCAACATGAATATTGTCAGGTAAATTTAAAGGTTTTCGTGGTTCAGTAGTGATGCTAACACTATCTGCTTTAGTTTTATCAGAAGCTTCGGTTTCAACATTATCAAGTTCTTGTGATAATTCTTCATCGCCAATATCGCGCACTATCTTAAGAGCTGCTTTTCGATAAATTTTGTCGATGTGTTTCTTTAGACTACGAACACCACTTTCGCGACAGTATGAACGGATCAAAGTCTCAATAGCATCTTGTTGTAGCTGGACATCTGCATTTTGCAAGCCAGCCATTTCTTTAGCAGTTGGTGAAAGATACTTTGAAGCAATAGCAACCTTTTCATCAGCAACATATCCAGATAACTGGATTACTTCCATACGATCTAGCAATGGAACAGGTATCGTGTCTACAACATTAGCAGTGCAAACAAAGAGCACTTTAGAAAGATCAATTGGAACGTCCATATAATGATCTAAAAAGGATGAATTTTGCTCTGGGTCAAGAAGTTCTAAAAGCGCCGATGAAGGATCTCCTTGGTGTCCACGACCAATTTTGTCGACTACAATCAATAATGCATGATTTCAATTTGAATAATATAAATACATTATTGTATTGTGGATGTCGGCTAAAAAAAAAAATTACCTTCATCAATCAAAATCAATGGATTTTCGGTCTGTACCTTTTTTAAGGCTTGGACGACTTTACCGGGCATAGCACCAACATACGTTCGACGATGTCCTTTTATTTCGGCAACATCAGTAAGACCACCGACGCTAAACCGATAAAATTGCCGCGATAAAGCTCGAGCAATTGATTTTCCAATAGAGGTTTTGCCAACACCTAATAAAATCGTTAGTCACTATTTTTTAGAAAATACATGGATTCAGGTATGCGAAAGTTATGACAACGTTACGTACCGGGAGGCCCAACAAAGCACAAAATTTTTCCTTCCACAGTGCCTCTTAGTTTACCAACAGCAATGAATTCTAATATCCGATCCTTTACATCTTGTAGTCCGTAATGATCATCATCAAGCACTTTCATGGCATGCTTAATGTTGTAATTCTCTGGAGAACTTTGACCCCATGGAATCTGGGTCAACCAATCTAAATAGTTACGCGTAACATTGAATTCAGAAGCTGCGGGCTCTAAATGAGCTAGTTTATTAATTTCCTGGTGAAATGAACGAAAGACTGAGAATGAACAGAACATTTAAGAACAATCTATGTTCACATACAAATTTTGTGCAAGATAAATTGAATTTACCTCATCGAAAACTTTCTTAACATTATCAGGCATGGCGAGTTTATCTGCCTTTTCTTTGAACTTTTCAATGAGTTTATCCTTGCCATCTGATTCAATGCCTAATTCTTTTTTGATTCCTTTCAATTGTTCCATTAAATAGTATTCTCTTTGGCGCTTTGCAATTTTAGATTCAACTTCTTTGCTAATTTTGCTTTGTAATTGGGCATTGACTAATTCTTTTTTTAGAACAAGTAAAGCTTTTTGTAAACGCTCTTCAATAACCAAACTTTCTAAGACTTCTTGTAATTCGTTTGGTTCTCCCGTTGAAACAGCAGCTGCAAAATCAGCAAGTTTTGCAGGTTCTTCAAAAACATTACCAGCAGCTTGAGACATGGAAAAATTTGCAATTTGATCACGAAAAAGTGGATTCAATGTTGCTATATCTTTGAAAACTGCTACAATTTCTGACGTTATTGCTCGAATTACTTGATTCTTTCTATTATACTGTTCATCATTGAGATTTTCAACGTTTGCTAGCGAGACATTATAATCTTCAAGAAAAGATGTAGCGTATTGTGGTTCGGGTTCTACCAATTAATTCAAAACGGTCGAGTTAATGAAAAGTGAATCCTGATGAAGAGAACTTTATTATGACAAACAATAC